AAGTGAAATAATAAGTTAAAGGGCGATGCCGAACAAAAAGCGTGGAGAGTAGTTTTACCGAGGCATCGCGGGTTAGCGAACTTGATATCATGGAGGAGTCTATTATACAATGCTAAAAAAAATAACAAGTAGATCGCGCACGGTCAAGAACGTCATTAAGTAGTAGAGTATGCCAAATATACTCTCACCGATAATCCAACCACGTCGGCATCAACGGCGATGAAAAAAAGATTCGACTGCTGCAAGTGAAAAAATAAAAAGAAAAAAAGTATGAGCGGTGAATATAGAGTATCATTATACATACTTATTGATATTTTACTGCTTTATAATCCTTTTACAGGTTGAGAAAACAGGCAAGCGAGCGAAAAACGGATATATTCCAAACTACACCCTTTGATGACTCCGATCAAAAGACTTCAACACCCCGTTCATATGATAAATAACTCTTATATTAAACCGACTATACTAATGAAAAGCGAGGGGCAAGCGAGTATAGGTAAGAGCGAGAATAGGTGTGGTCAAGCAAAAGTGAAAGACCGAGTGGACGAGTGAACCAAAGCAAGTGGGCGAGCAAGTGTGGCGAGCAAGAACAGACAAGCGAGCGTGGGCAAGAGCGTGAGAGTGCGAACAGGCGAGATAGCAAGTGTGAGCGAGTGGACAAACAAGTAAAAGTGAATAGACAAAAAAATGCATAAAGAAAAAGAAGTGAGTAAAGAAAAGAAGAAAGTAAGAGAGAAGAAAATGAGAAAGCAAATACGCATTTCTGAATAAAGTTCTTTTTACATTTACTGCATTTGATTATTCTTTGCATGGGATTGATTATAATTTAGTTTTTTAGGAGATGGTTAGTCTTTTAAAAAAGTTTTTGAGATAATAAAGTATATATTGGAAGCCTTTTATAAATAAATCAATCGTATGTTGTGGGAATATTTGTCTTTATTATGCGATGGGGCTCCATGTTTGATGTATTATGTCACTATTGGAATTTATATTATTCCCACAGTATGTTTGGTGTATTATGTCACTATTGGAATTTATATTATTCCCACAGTATGTTTGATGTATTTATGTCACCATTGGAATTTATATTATTCCCACAGTATTAATATTATATACGTTGGGAAATAATCATTATTAATAGTGATCATGGATATCTTGCAAATGATGCAAATGCGATCATCGATGACATGTATTTGATATTAAACTTTTTTGGCCCTAAAAACATTTATCTTTATCGCTATGAAGAGATGTTAATAAAAAATCGATTTGTTAGAGTCATTATCAGGGATAATTAGAGAAAAACTGGGTTAAGTTAAAGAACAAATATTATATTGAATAAAATATTAGAGGTTCTAATTGAAGCAACTCTTCTCTTGTAAATACAATATTTTTAAATTTTTTAATAAAATTTCGAAGAAATATTATTGACAAGGTCTTCTAACAAATCTTTTGAGACAAATAATTCTATACAAATAAAAAGATAAATAAATTAAATCGTATATCAAAGAAAATAAAACTGCGATTTGTGCTTTTGCAAAATAGTCTCCTTGTTTGCTTGTACTTTTATAGCACTTAATGCTTTATCAATCGCTTTAGGAGTACCAATTCCATGCTCAAAACATCAAGCAAGCGAAAAACGGCATCAGGATTTTCAGAATTCGCCGATTTTAAATAGCACTTGAATGCCTTATTCAGATTTTTTCGGTTCCATCACCAGAATCGAAACGATATCCAATCTCACATTGAGCTTTTGTATGGCCAGCCATCGCAGCTTTGAAATACCATTCAAATGCTTGTGTTGAATCTTTGAACGTACTCATACCTCCTCATAGCATATTGCAAGATTATATTGCGCTATTAGTATACCCAACACTCAAAAGCCTTGTTCTCATATTTTTCTGTTCCCACGCCAGAATTATAGCATGCACTAAGGTTATTTTGAGCATCAATATGTCTATTCCTTGCTGCTTTTAGATTCCATTGAAAAGCTTGTTCTTTCTCGGTCCTTTCGCCAGATTTGTAGCACAAGGCAAGATTACGATAAATGTAAATTAAAATAATGAGCGAGCACGGAACCATTAAATCGTGCGCGAGAAACCCAGGCTTTTAGGGACTTTTGCCGGTATTGGAAATAACATGTTCGGTGTTGGAATATTCTCAAGTCACAGTCTTGTTTTGAAATTCAATCTTCTGGGATAGCATTGATTTTATGGGCAGTGGGTATAATCGTCTCTTTATTTGGTTCACTTACTTACGTCGAGGTATTTATTTTTTTATTTGCGTCTAATATCATCTTTTAACATAACATCTTAGATTTTTTAGTTATGTGTTCAGTTTTGCCATGATCCTGGCGATACGACCAGCCTTTATATCCGCCATCGCAAATATTTTCACACAATATTTCTTATATCTAATCAAAGCTCGTGGACTTTGTGACATTGATTTTCTGCACCCCAGTAAATATATTGCTGAATGGAATTTTAGGTAAGAGTTGACAATATTGTTATAGGATTCATATGCTAATCTAGAAATTCGGTTCTAGGCAATTACGGTTTTGTTAGTTAACCGAAGTAATTATAATCACATTTTGCCATATTATATCCAACAAATGGGCAAATCGTATAAATCAAGCTCTAAAGACCTTGAGACTGCTTACAATATCGATTCTTGGATTAGCAACAATTCCTCGGGTTATTAATAATCCAGATACGAATTAGAGAGTTATGTTTCCTGGAAATGCGATAAAAAGTCCAAGCGCTTTGCCTGCTGCGTTTATTCTATTCTATTATTCGCATATGACGGATGTAATAATTTAAATTGTAGGTATAAGAAATTATTTATATGCATTTCAATATACAATGACACGAATATTAAATCTTTTTTATAGATGATTTGGATGAACTCGTGAATTCTCAAAAAGAATTAAAGAAGTCAAATAATATTAGCGTCCTTATTATTACTGGTTTGTGTAGGTATGGTTATTTATTATGGACGTAATATTTTTGTTGAAATTTTCTTAAATTAATTTATGAATCTATAATATAGACCTTGGTGTTAATGTAACATACACGAATGCACCACCATTACCAAAAATAACTAGCTCTAACGAACCTTAGAAATCATTGCTTGCAAATTCGCTGACCTAGTCGGTGGTTTTCATTGGCTCGTGCGTTATCTTTTTTCGCCTGTTTATCAGCTTTTGGCGCGTTGGCAGCATCCATATGAGCTGGATCGCGAGTAATGCTAAAAGAGACTATATATATCCCTTTCTCGTCAGGGTTACAACAATGGGATCAAAAAAACAGAGGCTCCAATTCATGCATTGGTATAAATATATTTTCAATTCTCAGACTTATATTTTCCTTGATCTCTTAAATAATAAATTCTTAATTATTTCTAGATAGCACAATCGGTCGGTTTGGTGTTCACTAATTATTATCTTTTATCCATTTAGTGATCCATTTAAATTCTTTGTTAGTTTGGACGAACATTGCATGTGGATATTTTTATTTCTGAGTGCTTTGGGACTATTGGTGAGTTTTGTATTGTTTAATAATTTGTCAATACTTTCAACGAGTTTAAGATTCTAATTATCATCAAATATTTTTTAGTATATGCGCTTTACTCAACCTGATCTTCCTCTTTCGTTCAAAGTGTGAATCATGATACCCATAATATTTATTATATTCGCATTATTTATCTACCAAATATACAAAATATGCACATTTACCCTCCTTATGTTGTCAGTTTTATGATAATCGGAATTTGTGGAATTTGTTGGCATTTTTTATGCTTGTTAGGTTGGCGGCTTGGACTAGAGAGAAGAACAGAACCTATTGCTTCTGAAAGAACACATAAATCGTCTGAAAATCTGAGAAGCCAATCACCTGAATTACCGTTAGAAATCATTAGTACAAATGATACCTTTAGGTCAAAGAGTATATGATTAAAGAAATTTTATATTATTTTATAAATTATCTATTATTAAACATTTTTGTATTTGTTCATTTCAATTCATTTTAGCTAGGTTTTTTAAATCAAGTAATCTTAAATTTGTTAAGATATATACACGAATATACCTATAAATAAAAATATAATCTTTATCACTAATTTTCGAAACTAAAAATAAGTGTGCTTAATATATGGTGGGGATGCTTAAAAATTGGCAGGATACGATATACTGTATATCATCCATCAGATGAGTAATAAGATGGAACGTTCATGTACTGTAATTCTAGGAACAAGTGTAGTATTTGAATAAAAAGCATCATTGTACTGTATTTATTATTCAATTGGAAACTATACTTAATTTTAGAAAGATGCTCTGTATCAAAATATCACCTTTTACATTCCCAACTCATACATATGACCTATCTGGAAAACAGTGTCTAATTTTTGGGATGGATGCGTCATAAGGTGCCGGTAAATACTGCACCGCATTTAGAATGATTTTTTTGAATTGAAAGCATCATTTTATGTTTATTAAAAAGCATGCACGTTGACTAATCACTTTTTCTTTTGTATTATGGTAGCCCCAAACAAATGGCCTCGATTTATTACAAATTTCATATGATCAGTCATTAAAAAGAAAATTTGACAACGAAAATAAAAATTATGTTTTTGGAATCAATTATAAAATAAGGGTGGAAAATTCCTATCGTCTCCTTTTATGAATCTACTGTATATCCCGGTCCGAACTGAATGATACAGAGTTGATCATGAAAGCACCAGTTTGATTACGCAAAATTTTATTAAGTCAACAAATCTTGTCCTTTAATAAAAATGGTTAACTTAAAGAATTGCATTAGAAACAATATTTATTAGTCTATAAAATAAGCGAAATTTGAAATAACATCATTAGTAATAGTATGATTTTTCCTTCCATGTCAAATTGCATTCAAATTTGCATTGACATGGGAGGAAAATGTATTACATGTGTTAATTTTCTTTAAAGTATGTTGCCTTACTTAGAGGCATTCCAGTAATAATTTTGTGCAGTTTCTTTAAAGTCCCACCCGAGTTTTAAAAAACTAGCCATCATTACTTTCCGTGCATTTTAAATGGCTGCCGTCCTTCACGCTGATGCAGATTTTCTTCAAATAAGCATTTTTAACCCTTCTACTTTGATAATATAGCAAGACATTAATAAATGTACGTTCATGCTTATATCATTTTTTTCACATTTCAAAGTTTGTTTAATCTATAACCTTCGTGTATTTCGTCGTTAAAGACTGTGTATGCATTGACAAATTAGTCATCAGACGTACTTTATATCTTAAGAATTAAGGACCACATCATTATTATTTCTTCTCGTCCCCTTTTATGAATAAAAGAAGAACTTTACTTCGCTAAAATCTAGCCCATTTTCTTTCAAGATATTTTAACAAAATTCATTGAAAAATTCAGAATTACATAAAACTATATCCTGTAAAAAAAATTAATCATTTCATAATTTACTCATTTCAATATACAAGTCGGACCTTCTGATATGCCTGTGCAATATTCATAAAATTTTTTCAGATCGTAATTTTGAAATAAACCTCATGTTTTAATTTCGAGCTCAGTTTAATCATGGAAAAACTCGAAACAGTTTAGGATATTGATTAATTTTATGATTTGAATTATATAGTGAACATGTTTTAATGATTCAATATATCTACAGAATAAAAAATCAACAAAGAGAGTGAAACCCTACGATAAAGATTTATTGTATGAACAGGTCAAAACCGTCAGCAAGAACGTGGAGGACGATGTATTAGCCCATTGTCGTCTAATAGAGGAAGTGTAGAAATAAATAGCCAAGATATGATAGATCAAGCACTCCAACCCGTCAAATTTATTCTAGCACAGAATCCGTAAATAAACATGTCTATTAAAGTTAATACGTTATTAATTAATGTAGCCAGACTATATTGGAAAAAGTCCTGCAATACGTTCTAGTACCGAAGCCTCCTCTAGCAGTATTTACATTAACATTGAGAAAGAGGAACCAACTGACAACATTCACTTTCCGATGCTGACCATGGATCCACATCACGTGTGGATATTGAAGAGTGGAACAAGTAATATACGAGTTTTGTAGGAATGTACAGTCGCCACAAAAAGTAACGCCCGATTTTTTTAAAAAATAAAATTTCGGATTTATTTTATTTCTGTTTTATAAATATAAAAATATTTTTTTACCAATAGATAATACATTATTAACTCTTCATATGGCTCTAATATTGCTTTGATTTCTCAAGACATTCAGCCTACAACCTCCTCAAAAGCCAACACATCGAATTTCCTTCAGAGTAGTCTTGAGCTTTTACGTGATCCTTGAGAAGCTTTTGCATTTTATAATATTGTTCCCCAATGACTTGAAGACATTTCTATGAAGTTTGGGTCATGAGAACACAATATTCATTGATTTCTGTATTTGATTCTATTCATGGCTTCTTTCCCTAATGTAGATCAAGTTTTATTTTTTTGAAACATCATGCTCTCTCAAATCAATGAACAAATTATATTATGAAAAGGGACCAAATTACCTTAGA